ATTGTTAAGTGAATCAATGCAGTTGATAAGTTATTATCCTGATTGTTAAGTGAATCTGCCTCCACCATTGACTTTGCTTGTCGGGAAGTCGCAAAACGTTATCCCAATGCCCCAGGACACAGCAACCGTCATAAATATGAACCAGTTGCCAAGCATCTGAATTTTGATCACATGATCATAGGGATGCTGCAAAGGTGGTAACTATGAAAAATGGCCATGAGTTACTTTTTTCAGTGCCGTTGTAACTTCAGTCACTAAACAAACTGTTGTAAGTCGAGGACTACCTGTATATGGAAACAGATGAGGAAGTCACTTTCTAGTTTCTTTCTAGTTTCATTTTCTCTTTTCTTTACTCCCTCCAATCTGCTTTTAACCTTGTGAACTAAATACAGTTGAATTGACAATTTAACCAGTTCATTTGTCCCATTGAAACCGGTGGGAATAGTCTAACTAGGGATACACCTATGGAAAGGGGTATGTCCTTTATTGAATTGGAGGGCTTTGAATCTCATAACCTAGTAATTTCAAAACTCAACTATTGCAAAGTGCTTTACATGGGGCTGCTCTTAGAAAAAAACCTCAGAAACTTCCAACAGGTTCAGAAGAAAGGGACATGGGCATGATGACTATGCCCACATGAACCTCTGTTTCCCAAGCTGCACTGATTGCCAATTTGTTTCCAAGTGCTAGTCAAAGTGCTGGTCTTTTATATACAGGTAGTCCTTGACAATTGAGCCTAAAATTTCTGTTGCTAGTTGCTTCAGTTGTTAAGTGAATTGTTAAGTTTGTAACACGGTTGTTAAATGAATCTGGCTTCCCCATTGACTTTGCTTGCCAGAAGGTTACAAAAGAGGATTCACGTGACCCTGGGACACTGCAATGTCATAAATATGAGTCAAATGCCAAGTGTCCGAATTTTGGGGATATGACCATGGGGATTCTTCAACAGTTGTGTGAAAAACAGTGATAAGTCACTTTTTTCAGTGACATTTTAACTTTGAACAGTCACTAAATAAACTATTGTAAGTTGAGGACTACCTGTCATAACTGTAACCTTTAACTGGACAAAATGATGCATTATGGGGCAACACATTTTGAACCAAAATATCTCAAATGGGTTAACTTACAGAAACTTTCTGTTGCTAAGTGAGAAAGTTGTTAAATGAATTTTGCCCCATTTTAAAACCTTTGTTGCTACTCTCGTTAAATGAATCACTCTCGTTGTTAAGTTAGCCACAGAGTTGTTAAGTGAATCTGGTTTCCCCATTAACTTTGCTTGTCACATGGCCCCCAGACACTACCACCATCATAAATAAAAATCAATTGCCAATCTTCTGAATTTTGATCATAAGACCTCAGGGGATGTCGCAACTGTTGTAAGAGTGAAAAACAGTCATAAGTCTTTCAGTGCCGTTGTAACTTTGGAGGGCCACTAAATGAACTCTTGTAAGTGGAGGACTACCTTTATTATTGTAAGCCACCCAAACTCAGTTTGGAATCAGGCAGTGCTTAAATTGAATTAAATGAAATAAAAATATTTGACTAAATCTGATACTA